CGCCCCCTGGTGGCTTCCCGGGACAGCGCCTGGAGGGACTTCTTGGAGGAGAACCTGGTCATCCTGCAGGAGAGGTACTGGCCGACTCCCTGGTGCCTGGAATCCCGCCTTCAAACAGTCCTGGCGTCGATCCTGCGCTACAGACTGCTTCCTCGTGTCACCTACAGAAAGTGAGTCTAGCTGCCGGGGCATGCCGTGCACGTGCGTGTATAAATATTATCATAATTATTCCCAGGCATATACAGTATATATATAACTGAGCTTACCAATTTCAGCATCCGGGAAGTGAAATGTGGCGTGTAATACCCGCAGATAATTGTATTTTACCACGTAAAAGTAGAAGTGATTTGTTAAATCATTTAGAAATGGGTGAATGATGATAATAATGATGATCATATAATTTATAATGTTAAGACTGATAATACACACACACACACACACACACACACACACACACACACACACACACACACACACACATATATATATATATATATATATATATATATATATGTATATATATGTATAAATATATATAACACGTGTGAGTGTGTGTTATTATGTTACTGTATACGTACTATTAAGATAATTATTCTTATCACATATAATTATAATCCTGTACCTGCACTCTTCCGTTATTATCTACTTTAATATTACCATGAACATACTATTACTGTCACTTTGTTATTATGTATCATTATATTCCTTTCCCTTATTGGTATATCATGACATTACCATATACTTTCTATTACCACCAGTTATCAAATATTCCTATACACGTATTGGTATTATCTTTTTTTTCATATTACTAAGCACTTACTATTACTACCACTATTATTAACATATACCATTATCTTCCTATCCATCCATAGACGCAACCAATGACCACATTACAACGTATTACCTTCACACTGTCGATTTAACAAAGGTAGTCTTTAAGTGCAATGTTGAATACCTTGCAGCCTCGTGGCACAGGTCGAAAGCACAAGGTCGACAAACGACATTTACTCCACGCGACTTATAACGTCTTGGACTGTATGATTATTTTTGTATTGTTGTGGGTACGTGATGTGGAACCCGTTTGGTCTGGATTTCTGTTCAAGGGCTTTGTGAATATTGGTTGGGTGGTAAGAGTGGGGCGTGCGGATTAGAGGAGGTATGATGATGATGGTGATGATGATGGTGATGGTAAATGATGAAGGTGATGATGATGTTGATGGTGATGATGATGGTGATGATGATGTTGATGATGATGTTGATGTTGATGTAGATGATGTTGATGTTGATGATGATGTTGATGTTGATTATGATAATGGTAATAATATCAATAATAATAATAATAGTGATAGCAATAATAATAATAATAATAAAAAATAATCACGATAATAATAATAATAACAATAATAATAATAATAATAATAACAATAATAATAATGATAATAATAACAATAATAATGATAATTATGATAAAGAAAATATGAATCAGCAAAAATAATACTAATAATTACAAGAAGAAATGGGGCTTTATTTCCATCCACACTGCTTCTGAAATGCTGTTAATATCACGCCACGACAGCAAGAAATCGATGCTCCAAGGTTTCGAATGTTTATCACGGATGATCACGATTTCCCAAAGCATCTGCGTGGAACCAGTGATAAATAGGCTTGTTTTATTGCACGACACGGTAATTTCAGCTTTATTGGAAGATCCACTTGATTAGGAATTGTTTTTTCAAGTCATTATAAAAAGGGGAATGTCATATGTCTTCGTTTGATGATGCTAATGCCACTGTCTGTTTCACGATTAGCTTTTGTTTTTTTTTTCGTGGTTTATTCAAGAGTAATGAGGGTCTCTTTCATGTAAATGTCACGTGAACTTACATATTGTGACTGTCCTGGAATTATCCAAGTGGGAGGAACAGCTGTCTGGATTGTTTGGAACCATAATTTGTTGTTGGAGAATTTCGAACTTTTGCCGTTTCAATATATTTAGGATGTATGTGTTTTTCGTTACTAATACCTTTCGTATTTGAAACTGTGTCGCGTGCGCAATCGTGGTCTTGAAATATTCAGTTTTTGGAATTTGTAGAGCTTGCGATAAATGCTAGATGGCGCTGTCCATTCACTGCCATTCAGATTTCATGAATTATTGGGCTATTATTCAATTGTCTTAGCATTTTCAAATGTTCGTTAAATGTTACTGTCCGTTAATGATGCTACTGACGTTCAGATTACACTGCTTGTTTTCTCTGGAATATCCTCTCTATCGACTCAATTTTTGATAGTTTTGCAAACAGATTACATATATTACCGATATATTAAGCTAACGTATATAACAGTTATTCGAAATTAGACTTTTATTGCATAGGTCACCAACACTGGACAGCATACCGCTTTAGTGTCAATCCGCTTAATTGCATAAGCAACCTCCGTTCCAATCGGCTTGCCAATCCAGTCGTGAAGGAAACATCACATCCTCTCAGATTCCAGCCTTTGTTGTTTGTTCCCGATTCTCTCTCCGATAACTGGATAGAACATTTCCTAGTCGCGTTTGGACACTCGCCAGCGCTCTTGTTAAAGGTATCAGCCGGGAGGAATCCGCGTTTGTACAGGGCGTTGCTGTGGCTTGACTTCGCTTGACTTGGCTTGACTTCGCTTGACTTGGTTTGCCTTAGCTTGACCTGGTTTGACTTAGCTTGCCTTGGTTTGACTTGGCTTACCTTGGTTTGCCTTGGCTTGCCTTGGCTTGCCTTGGCTTGCCTTGGCTTGCCTTGGCTTGCCTTGGTTTGCCTTGGTTTGACTTGGCTTAACTTAGATTGAGTGTGGCTTGGCTTTATGTCTGTTTTCATGGTCTGTCAGTTTGCTAGCCGTGTTTTTTCTGTATATTTTCCTATTCCTTTTGCCAGAATTGTCCTCTTCCAAACCATCTCCCACTACTAATATTACACTAGCATTATCGTTATTGTTGCTGTTGGAAATATCAATAATTAATGCAGTGCAGTCTCATGAGGGGGAGTGCTTTAACGTAAATATATCAGTGTTTATGCTGTCGATAAATGTAAAAAAAAAAAATATTCAATATATACATTTCCGGACACCTTTGGACGCGCATAACCTCAGACACACACACACACACACACACACACACACACACACACACACACACACACACACACACACACACACACACACACACACGCACACATGCACAGGCACGCACACACACACACACACACACACACACACACACACACACACACACACACACACACACACATATATATATAAATATAAATATAAATATATATATGTCTGTATGTATATGTTTTTGTATGTATATATTTATGTATTTATATCTATGTATGTATATATATATATATATATATATATATATATATATATATATATATATATATATATATATATATGCACACACATAAACACACACATAAACACACACAAACACACAAACCACACCCTTTACCAGCCACATCGACCTAACACCTCCCAGAGCCTAACAGCACCCTGATTACGTATTGATGAACTGCTGTGTATCGATCGCGACATGCGTTTGTCTCCATTTGCTTCCCCGTAATGAACCGACGACATTGATTCGTGTGTTTGTGAAAGGATGTTTTTTTTTTTTTTTTTTTCTTTTTTTTTTTTTTTTGGGGGGGGGTGGGGGTGGGGGTAGGGGTAGGGTGGGTGTTAGAGGAAATGGTGAAGGGATAGTTGGATATTTTTTTTTTGACTTTGGGTTGATTTGTGTGGATGCCTTTGTTGATATGTGTGTCTAGGCTTATGTCTTGTTGCCTTACATTAATTTTTTCTCTCTTTCGTACGCATACACAGACACACACATACATACACACACACAAACAAACACACACCAATACACACACACACACACACACAAACACACACACACAGACAACCCCCCTCCCCCCTCCCCCACACACACTTCCCCCTCTCCCTCATCCCTTCCTCCCCTCCCCCCCAGACACACCCAACCCACCAACCCAATACCCTCCCAAGGGCACATAGACCCCCCAAAAATCCTACTAATCCTAACGCACCCTCCCCCCCCTGCCAGAGAGGTACTGCAGCTGAGAGACGGAGGCCAGGTCTGCCTCGACTGGCTGGACGGCGCGGGGGGGGCCACTTCGCCCATCATCCTTATCCTGCCGGGGCTGACGGGGTCCTCGCAGAGCGACTACATCAAGGGGCTCGTCCTGACGGGGAGCAAGACGGGTGCTCGCTGCGTCGTCCTCAACTACAGGGGCACGGCGGGTATCGAGCTCAAGGTGAGGTGGGAAGGGGAGAGAGGGAAGAAGATATATATATATATATATATATATATATATATATATATATATATATATATATAGAGAGAGAGAGAGAGAGAGAGAGAGAGAGGGGGAGAGAGAGAGAGAGAGAGAGAAAAGGAGAAGGAGAGAGAGGGAAGGAGAGAGAGAGAGAGAGAGGGAAAGGGAGAAGGAGAGAGAGAGAGAGAGAGAGAGAGAGAGAGAGAGAGAGAGAGAGAGAGAGAGAGAGAGAGAGAGAGAGGGAAAGAGGGAGAGTGGGAAGTAGAGAGGGAGAAAGAAAGAAAGAGAGAGAGAGAGGGAAGGGGAGAAGGAGAGAGGGAGAGAGAAAGAGAAAGAGAGAGAGAGAGAGAGAGAGGGAAGGAGAGAGAGGGAAGGAGAGAGAAAGATAGATTAAAGAGAAAGAAAAATAGTGAGCAAAGAGAGAGAGAAGATAGTAATGATAATAATAATAATGAAAATAATAATGATCGTAGAATTAATATTCATTATTATTATTATCATCATCACCATCAATACCATTATTGAAATTATTATTATAGATAAAATAGAGGGCAAAGATAATTAAGTAAGATAAAGGCAGATGAGACCAGCAATGAGAGCCAAGAACGACAATGAAGCGGTTGAATATAATTAGCATATGTAAGTAGACCGAGAAACACGTGTGTGGTTATTCTGAAAGGAACAGCACTTCGATATTGCTCGAGGGCGCGTGTGTGGGGGATAAAAGGAGTGAGAGAGGGAATAGGAGTGGGAGAGAGGGAGAGGAAGTGCGAGAGAGGGAGAGGAAGTGCGAGAGAGGGAGAGGGAGTGAGAGATTGGTAGAGAGGGAGGGAGTTGGAAGAGAGTGGGAGAGAGGGAGAGAGAAAGAGAAAGAGAGGAAGTGGGAGAGGGAAAGAGAAAGGGAGTGGGAGAAAGAAAGAGAATGGGAGTAGGAGAGAGAAAGAGAAAGGGAGTGGGAAAGAGAAAGAGAATAGGAGTGGGAGAGAGAAAGGGAATGGGAGTGGGAGGGAGAAAGAGAGAGGGTGTGAGAAAGAGAGAGAGAGAGAGGGTGTGAGAAAGAGAGAGAGAGAGGGTGTGAGAAAGAGAGAGAGAGAGGGTGTGAGAAAGAGAGAGAGAGAGGGTGTGAGAAAGAGAGAGAGAGAGGGTGTGAGAAAGAGAGAGAGAGAGGGTGTGAGAAAGAGAGAGAGAGAGGGTGTGAGAAATAGAGAGAGAGGGCGGGAGAGAGAGAGGGGGAAAGGGAGAGAGAGAGGGAAAGGGAGAGAGAGAGGGAAATAGAGAGAGAGAGGGAAAGGAAGAGAGAGAGGGAAAGGAAGAGAGAGAGGGAAAGGAAGAGAGAGAGGGAAAGGAAGAGAGAGAGGGAAAGGAAGAGAGAGAGAGAGAGGGAAAGGGAGAGAGAGAGGGAAAGGGAGAGAGAGAGGGAAAGGGAGAGAGAGAGGGAAAGGGAGAGAGAGAGGGAGAGAGAGAGAGGGAAAGGGAGAGAGAGAGTGAAAGGGAGAGAGAGAGAGAAAGGGAGAGAGAGAGGGAAAGGGAGAGAGAGAGGGAAAGGGAGAGAGAGAGAGGGAAAGGGAGAGAGAAGGGAAAGGGAGAGAGAGAGGGAAAGGGAGAGAGAGAGGGAAGGGAGAGAGAGAGGAAAAGAGAGAGGGAGAGAAAGAGAGAGGGAGAGAAAGAGAGAGAGAGAGAGAGAGAGAGAAAGGGAGAGAGAGAGAGAGAGAGAGAGAGAGAGAGAGAGAGAGAAAGGGAGAGAGAGAGAGAGAGAGAGAGAGAGAGAGAGAGAGAGAGAGAGAGAGAGAGAGAGAGAGAGAGAGAGAGAGAGAGAGAGAGGGGGGAAGAAAATAGTACATGGTGAATGCAAAAGGTTTTTCATCGTAATGTAGAATTAGAAAATATAATATATAAAATTAAGCAAAAGATAATCTTAATGTTAAAATTGTATGTAACTTAAAATAGCAACTATTTGCATATGATCTCACGCAATCTCCATTATGTAATTCCACATTCACCATCAAGAAACGATAAAAAGAATCAAAAAGTAAAAAAACAACAACAACAACAACAAAACAAAACAAAAAAAAACAATAGCAATTATATTAACCTCTTCCTTCTATAAACAGAAAATTATTCAAAACTTAATGCATGGATGATACTGTAACCGCACCGTTTTCACCCTGACCTGTGACCAGACGACCAGAACGTACTGCGCGGCCAACAGCGACGACCTGGAGGAGGCCCTGCAGCACCTGAGGACGACCTACCCGAACGTCCCCCTCATAGCAGCTGGAGTGTCCCTTGGGGCGTGAGTGAAGCGTTGGGTTTCTGTAATTGGAAGTTGTGAAGGATGGAGGATACGGAGAGATGTGTGAGGTGAAAAGAGAGATAGAGAGTGAGGGGGAGAAGAAGGAGGGAAAGGGAGAGGGAAAGGGAAAGGGAAAGGGAGAGGGAAAGGGAAAGGGAAAGGGAAAGGGAAAGGGAAAGGGAGAGGGAGTGGGAGTGGGAGATGGAGAGGGAGAGGGAGAAGGAGAGAAAGAGAAAGAGAAAGAAATAGAAGAAGAATGGTAAAGAGAGAGAGAGAGAGAGAGAGAGAGCGAGAGAGAGAGAGAGAGAGAGAGAGAGAGAGAGAGAGAGAGAGAGAGAGAGAGAGAGAGAGAGAGAGAGAGAGAGAGAGAGAGAGAGCGAGCGAGCGAACGTATCCATATCCTACAGAACGCTTCACAAATAAACACATAACACATTCTATCCACAAAGTTCCTTAGAGAGAATTTGTTTACACATTCAAGTAGTGGAAAATGCCACTGAATAAGGGCAGAAACGCAGACCACTGCAGTCACGTGATATGTAGATGTGAGGATGATAGCAACAGAATCGGACTTTGACATCTGACAAAAAACGGTTAGAATGTGATAGTTTATGCACCCGTGTGTGTGTGTGTGTGTGTGTGTGTGTGTGTGTGTGTGTGTGTGTGTGTGTGTTTGTTTTTGTTTGTTTGTTACGTGTTTGAAGAGTATAGGTATGTAGTGATTGATATATAAATAAATAAACAAATGTAAGAAAGTACGTAAACAAAAGTAATACAGAGAGGCACCTAAAAAAAGAAAAACTGTCCATTAATATTTTCCTTTCTTTTAATTTCTTTCTTTCCTCATATTGAATGGAAATCAATTAACATTTTAGCATTTTCTTCGTTTACTTTCGGTATTATGACTACATTATTTTGTCTGATTATAAAACGGATTTTAGTTTCATTCCTTACGTGCACTATGTTTAATTTCGTAACTGCGTCGCCTTACCCTAATATTTTCTCATAAAACTGATGTTTTCTTCATTTCTCCTTAGATATATTTCCTATAATATCTCCATATAAACTTGCTTCCCTATCATATCTCGTCCTTGAGTTTATTTTTCGACAAATATCATATATCCTAGAATGTATATTAGTGTTCTATTATATCTTATATATTTTCTTGATATGCTCTGTTCTCTCTCTGTTTACACATTTCCTAACTAGATGGAATATATACATTTCTTGCTGCATTTACTCCTCTACCTTGTATTTAGATGACCTTTCTCTCAGTCTGTATTTATCACCATGCCATCTAAATCACTAATACCACTATCGATTCTTTTCCTCTCAAGCAATCTTTCCCCCTGCCACTGTTTCTTTTCCCCTTCTTTCCTATGCCTTCTTTCTCTTTTCCACGCACTTCTGCCTATTCTAATATTCCCTCTACCTTGCTAACTCTCACAGGTCAATCATAGGGAACTACCTAACGACTCGGGGGGAGCAGGCGGGTGATTTTCTGGTGGCAGCGGTGGTATTCTCAACACCTTGGAACATGCAGTTAGGGGTGAAGAGCATGGAGAGGCCACTCTGTAACCTGCTGTTAAATAGGTGAGCACTTGTTTTGTAAGTAAGGAGAGTTTAGCTTAGGTGGTTAATGGTTGATTAATGCATTATATTTGTATCAGATTGCCTGCATTTGCTGGAGATTTTGTCACTTAGGAATACATGTTATCTTGAAGCTAAGAACATGAATCGATACCAACTCTGTCACATGACACTAAATTTGATTTGATCCCCTGTATAGCTATAAACAGCACCAATGCCTATATATCAATCTTTTATTTTTCATGATTTGCAGGTACCTTGTGGCATGTCTTTGTGGCTTAGTGAGCAGCATGAGTTATCAGCTAGCTGGCGATCACAAATGGAATTATGATCATGTCATGAAGGTGAATATTATTAACCCTGATATGTTATTTATGACTAATGGACAGTCCTTTTTCTGTATATTAAAAATTAGGTACACCATGAATTTTGTTTTAACAGGCCTATCAACATCCTTCTTTCGAAGACATCTAAAATAAAAATATTGATAAAAACACATATTTTGATATTACAGTCACAACAATGGGCTTCATTAGAATAAAGAGAGAGACAAAAAGGAAAACCTATAATTCCCTCTGGCGTTTTCAGAGCAAGAGCTTCCGAGAGTTCGACTCCCGCTTCACCGCCATGCAGTTCGGGTTCCGCGACGCCGAGGATTATTACAAGACCTCCTCCCTCCACGAGAAGCTCGACGACATCCGGGTTCCTCTCCTCTGCCTGAACGCGGCTGATGATCCTTTCCAGCCTATGGAAGGTGGGTTGTACGTCTGTCTGAAATATATATATTTTTTTAAGGGGGATGTTTTTTTGTTTTTTTTTCTTTATACTTTTTTTTCTTGGTTAGGATTGGATTTTTTTTCTGTCTGGTTTGTTTTGGTGAGCAACCCACGCCGAAATTTCTTTGATAGAGTTTGTTTGGTCACGCTGTCACGAGAGTAGTTATTCATTAAATGACTGACTGTTCATGTCATTCCTCTCAAGATAAACAAATTAGTATTGATTCCTTTCAGTTAATATGTGCAGTGTTAATACGGAGAAGTAAAGTATGTATCTCCCCAGAGATGATTTAACTAACCTTTGTTAAGTTATCCATACAAGTAATTAATTTTAGCCGATTATCCTCATGATGTTCATAGAATTATCTTCACCTTTCCCTTCCCCGTCTTCGTCAAGGTGTCCCAGTGGAGGCAGCGAAGAGGTCGAGTCACGTGGCCCTCGTCGTGACGGCGAGAGGCGGCCATATTGGTTTCATGGAGGGATTCCTACCCACTTGTACCTACTACAGCGACCGCCTTTTCCTCCAAGTGGTGAACAGCATTTTCGCCAACCTGGACAAGATGGTTGCTATTAAGAAGGAAGCTAACGATTTCGCGAGGAGCAAAGCGCTCGAATCCACTTCCAAATCATCTTAGGGATACGAGCACTATGCATTTTTGTTTTATGTCTCTTTCTTATTTTTTTTTCCTTCTTATCATGTCTCTCGCTGTCATTTCGCTGGAAGAGATGATCACCTCGATAGCAAGAGAGCTTATTATGGTAGGAAAGATTATACGGGTAGCAAAGGTTTGCGTGTTTAGATATTTCATTCCTTTTTTTTTATATTTAGAGGGTATTCCTGTTAACTCAGTAGTGTAAGTCATCTTGCGAAGGTCTTTTTGTTTACGAAGTCATTACAGAAGCAACGTAGGTCATTACGAAGATGACCTTAGCGAAGGGACTCCCAGTAGTGATATCCAACTCAACAATTGACTGATTTATTTCGAAACTATAATAAAAAATATTCGATTGAGCA